GTCGATGAGCTTGTCCATCACCTTCCTCCAGGCTGCAAGGGCTCGCCTCGGGTCGTGCTTCGGGTTTGGTCCTGATCTCGGTGGTGACGAAGGCTGTTCGGAGCGCAGCTGCAGCAACAAGTTCATGGCCCGGTTCCTCTCTCAACGCAAAACCCCCAAAGGATCTACTGCTCGCAATGGGCTGCGGCTCGATACGAAAGTCTTCGTCCTTGCGTCCTACACGAGCTGCTTCACTCGGCAACTGCCACTCCCTGCAACCAAAGTCGAGCACATCTATAGTGTAGTGTCCTGAGGGAAGCCGATGCATCGGGAGGATCATGTCGAGGGCCCTCAGCTCCAAGCACTCCTCGTCGAGGTTGATCACCGACCTCAGCTGCTTCAGCAACTTAACTGGAAGGAGGAGTGGGACTTCCCCCTCGACGACCGCTGCCTCCATCACACCAGCCACGCCCCCGATGCACAGCGGAAGCTCGCACACCCGGACACTCCGGGCCTCACCGCCGATGCCCTTTGTGCGCACGACTCTGTTGCACCACCGAGGCCTCAACCCCCGGCTCTTCAAGTCCTCTTCTAACCTTTCCAAAGCCAGCCTTCCGATGACTCCGTCCTGCGCGGCACTATCCACAACGCCGTGGTCCGACTTGGTGGTGACCCCGCTGAAGGACTCCTCTGGCTTCTGCAAAGAACTCCCCGGGCACAGCTGATCATGCAAACTGCCGCTACCGCTCTGGCTCTCGACCCTGGGCTGCTTGCACTCGCTCCGGCTGGCTCTAAGAAAGCTTCCTAACAACGGCTTTTCGCCCCAGAAAGCACTCGAATCACCAAACTCCGGTGGCCTGATAAAACCCTGCCCTGCTGCTTGCGCTTCCCGCCGATGGGCTCGGCGCCGTGGTGGCTGGACCCCCAGACTTTCTGTATCCATCCGGCGGGTTGGTGCACTCGGCCGCCCAATGGCCGATTTGGCCACATTTTGCGCACTTGGTGCGCAGCTTCAGCATGCTCACGTGGACGCGTGTCCCGGCCCTCTTGTCGCCCTTCTTCCCGGACCCCTTTCCCTTGCCCTTGGGCTTCTCCGTGGGGTAGTACTCGCGCGCGTTCTTCTGCTCCTGAAGTGCCCGCCTCACCTGCTGGTACGTGGCAAGAGCCTGCTTCACCTCGGCCTCCTCATAGACGTCCTGTAAATCCGACTGCTCCATGTAGATGTAATCCTCGTCGTGGTCGGACTCCTCCTCGAGCTCGCCGTAGTCAATCTCGCCCTCGTCGAAGTAGCTCGCTCGCTTTGTCTCTGCTCCCGCACCTTGTCCAGCTTGCGCATCGCCTTGATCACGGCGTCTCGCCCGAACTTTCCCTCGGTCCAAGTCGTGAGCTGGTCCTCTTGCACCGTGCTAAGGCGAGCTTGCCGAAACATGACGTATCCCCGGGCCTCCGACGGCAAGTCCACGCCTTCGTCCTTCAGGTTTCGGTATGCAGCGTCCATGCGCACGATGTACTCGCCGAGCGACTCCTTCGCTCCCCGGCTGCCCCCGTACACCGCTGATTCAAAGGCTCTGGGCATCGTAGTCTCTAAGTGCGGCGAGAAGTATTCCCGAAGCTTCGCGATGATGTTATCTTTGCCCTTCTCGCCGACAATCTCCCGGGTCTCCAGCTCATTCGCGGCCGCCTTGGCCACGCCCCCCAGTCTCCTAAGAATGCGGGTGCCATGCTTGGCCTTCGGGATCTCCGTGTCAAAGGCCCAGAGCTCCAACTCGCGCAGCCAAGGCTTAAAGGTCTTGCCTGGGTCCTCTCCGTCAAAGTAGGGAGGCGGCTCTCGGTCCCGGTAGGGCGGTCCTTGGTCTTCTCCCTCAGCTGGCTCCGAGCTTTCGCCCGGCGAGGGCATAAGCCCTTACTTCACAACTCCACTGTCGCCCCTCGGTCCTCTGGATCGGGTAGAAGGCGATCAGCTCCTCCGCAGCAGCGCGCACAGCCTTTTCTCAACGAGGCTCCGCTACCACTGTCAAAGACAGTGGTAGCTCTAGGGACCCTCTGAGCTCGCCGGACTATGACCGCAGATCGCTGCACCTTTTGTGCTCTCGCTGAGCTAAGTCTGGGGGCCCGCACGTCTTGGGCCAGTAAGTCTGAGAAAGCGGCAGCTGAAGTCTGGAAGCAACTGTCACTCACAACAGCTCGTCTGTTTACAGATATCTTCATTTGTGGTGCAGGAGCAGATCTGATTCGTGTAACGTTCATATACACATGATAATTCATAACTTTCATAACTGTAGCACAAATTCCAAAGCAACTCAAAACTTCGAAGATGGTCTTCGTCCTGCACGGAAGACTCTCCGCCTCTGCGCCTGCCATATCGGGTTACGTCATGGAGCATGGTTCCAGCAAATAGATTTTTTGACTTCTGTTTTCTTCCTCCCAGCTACGGACTAACACCGGCATGGTCTGAGCCCAACGCCTCGGCGTGGGCAAGGCTGTGGATGGATTGGAACACACACGCTTCAGCATCAACGCCGAAAAGTGCGCGATTTGGTGGAAGTGCGAACCAGGAGTGCAAATCATGCGGTCATGTCCCACTGAAATTCTTCGACCGAGCATCACTACTGGCTTCAATTCGCGGCATATCCACTGAACAGACCTGCGCCGGTCATATTCTCTCCAGCCTGCACATGCACACAAGATATCATGTCGCGAAAATTGCATGATGTCACTGCACGAACTTGCGAAAGTGGGCCCACTGGCCTGCAAGGAGGCCTCTGTCACCGCAGGTCTCGGAGTAGGCATCTGAATTGGTGTTGCCTTTGGGCACAAGGAGCTGAATCTACCGACCCCGAGCTTTCACAATCCTTGGGCCTTTACAGATTCGAAGCAAGCAGCATCGTCCCGAAGCTGCAACGACTGGCTAGGATTGCCAATCGAACTTCGGAACGCTTCAGATTTCATCCCTACACGATACCAGGGAAGGATTGTCGCAAGAGCCCTGCAGACTTCGAGAAAGCTGGACGATGAACCGATCCTGGACGCTGACCACGACCGTGCGATGCAATGCGAGGCCGAGGGTCTTTGCTTTCGAACGTTGCAGCCGCGTCGCCCCGGCAAGTGCCACCTTCAAAGCAGACCTTGTCCGCATTGCCTCGCTCCTGTCCTGGGCAAAGTGGGCAGTGGGGCTGCGTCTGCAAAGCGAGCACCGCCCTAAACCCTCCCATCGCGCCTGTGACTTTGCGCGTGCCAGCGATGTTGTCGTACTGCACGTGGGCATGCCTCGAGTGAACGCGCTGAGATGCCTAGGCTTGAGCCCAACGTGCTCAACAGGTTTGAGCGCCCGGAACGAACGACCCAACAAGCAAAGTGTCCCCAACATGTTAACAGAACGCACTCTTTCCAAAGCCCGAGTGGGAATATCTTGACAAACTCAAGGGAGCCGCCCTCAACCACAGATTTTTTTTCGGAAGAAAGACCTTCCATACAGTCGATACAGTTAGCCATCGCACCTCTCGCACCCTCTGGGGTCCTGGCACCTCAACTCGCCGTCGTCTTCGTCTTTGACTGGCACAGATTCAGACGGAGTTGGACGCTACATTGGGTGTTGGAATGCTCTTGAATATGGGTCTTCTTCGACCGACTTACATGTTTAAAGAAATGTGTGTCTGATGCCCGCCCCTTTCCAGTTTTTGCTTGGTTCATACACGACAGCGGATGTTGCAAAAGAAAATCGTGGTGCAACTTGTGCTTCATCAAAATGCCAATTGTCTGCACACGTTGCACTGTTTAGAACTGCGTATACTGCTGCAGAAGTTGTTCTAGCTTATTTCTGACAAGTGACTCGCATCCGTCTTTGAAACTCGAATCTATGCGATGGCCACTCGTGCAAAAAGCAATGTCCATCGAGTCCCACTTGCCAGCAGCCTGGACAGTTGCTAGGGTGATGTTTCCCTGCTTACAATCAGCCCTCCTCTCTCGGAGATATAGCTGAGGAACGCATGTCTTGATAAACTTCATGAACTGTCCTGCAGGGCATAGCTTAGTGTGGTAGGAAAGACGGCGTCGTCGATCTCCCATCATTTTGAGGTAGTACTCCGTGTCGTAGCCCCCGAAGGTATTGCCAGCATACAGCCCCGCAGGCGTCACGGCGACCTGCAGCAACACAGACGGCGCACTTGCGGGTGCGGGTGTTGCCGGCTTCAGCAGGTATAGTGACTGTAGTAAAGCAAGCAAACCATCCTCATCACCAACGTCAATGCGGGGTTAGTGAGCTCGCGCACACCAGCACCATCATCACCATCATCATGACAACCATCAACATCGTCACCATGATCCCCAGAATCACGTCACCATCAACAACAATATCAACATCACCAGCACCATCGAAACCACAATTCTCACCATCAGCCTTAATGAATGTTAGTGTCAATATCACCATCGTCACCAGCAGGAGCATCATCAGGAACAGCATCACAGTAACAGTAATCAGCCATCGTCGCCATTATCATGCAACTGCATCGTCACCATCATCCACACCCCTCGCACGAGTACTCGCAAAAGCTCATTGGTCAGCAGCCTACACGCCGAGCGCTCGGATACCTCTTGGGGCCGCTCTGGCATGGGGAGCGACACGTCATCTGGTATTCCCATCGAAAGGACTACTGCCAAGCGAGATGGTCCGATCGATCGATCAGTGCTTCTTTCATCTTCTTTCCTGGAGACCCACCACCGGCTACCTTTCAGGAGCGGGCAAAACCCGAGCGAGCTGCTCTGTTCATCAGATTCGGCTGGGCTGGGCGGAAAAAAATCCTCCGCGGAACGAGGATCCCTCGCACAGTAATCAGCAGACAAAAAAGCACCAAGCGATCGAACGCTTCTTCACGACCGCTCTCAGGCAACACGTCAAGAACCCACTGCGAAAATGGCATGCTGATCGCAACAAACACGTCCTGATCATGGACCGACCGAGGCGGTCGCAATCGCGATCGCCTCCAAAGTGGCCACGAAGATCAAAAGATGAAAATCTGATGAACCAAAGCATGGGCAGATCTCATGCAAGATTGCGACCGCGTATCTGGCGGATGACGTGGGAATGCTATCATCATTATCATCACCGTCATCACCATGACCATCATCGTCGAAATCATCGTCGCCGTCGCAATATTTAATGTCGATCCTTTGATAAGCCGGTTAGCAAGCACGGTCGTACGTAAGCTTTCCTAAGCCTAAGTTCGGATAAGGTTCTTCAGACACTCCTTGACACGCACCGTCGCACGGTTTGGGATGTACCACCATAATGAGCCCCTGGCTGTGAACCCAGCGAACAAATCGTCGATCCGGGGCAAAGCTGAAAAATGCATTCTGCAACAAAAACTGGGAGCTCGATGCCCACACATTTTTCCCGGCCCCCATCATACGAACTGACACGAAGAGATCCATCTCGTGTGCTGGCAGGATACAGTGCCGGAAGGGCAAGTTGCCCATGACGTCCAGCTGTCTTTATTCCCTTCTTTCCATGCTCCTGAAGTGCAAATGCAAAGACATGCACAGGCGCACCGAGTCCTACGAGTCCTACCTCGCCAGGGCCAAGGCAGGTACCAGCTTTCTGGGGCCTGCACCTTGCTGGATGTTGGCCCCAAGCTTCCCGCCTGTGGCCTTGCGCAAACCCCCACACAGCCACAGAGACCGAACTTGCGGCATGCTGCGATGCTCGAACGAAGCCTAGAGCAAGCAGAGCCCAAAAGCAAGGAAGAAGGCCTGGCAGGTGCCTCCGGACGTCACTTGAGCACCACCCGATGCAGTCGCAGCACCGAAAGTTGGGACTGCCTCTGAGCGCGCAGGCCCCACCCCGCTCGCACTGATGACTAGTACCAGGTAACTCGCGGTAACTAAGTATACTAAGTGACTGGGCTGAGCTTTCTGGCAGAGAGACGCTTCTTTCTCACGATGCGAGCCGTGGTCATGAACAAGACTTGAAGAAACTCCTCCATTTCCCGCGCTAATTCCAAGACACTTCACCAAAGGGCAAACCAAATCGTCAACCCAGTCAAACAAAGATACCTGCGCATCTTCCTCTGCCCAACCCACCCCGTAACTCTTGAGACACCATGCTCTTCAGGATGTCCGTGCCTCGCACTTGACCATGGTCTGGCCCGAGGGACAGTTCACGCTCACAAGGCAGCGGTCCTGCAGAGCTTGCAGGCGCTTGCTATTATTTTTATGCAAGAACCTCTCGAAACGGCCAACACAGAGGGATAAGAGAACGAAAACAAGAAAGCACTGCAGACAGCAGCACTGTTTCACGTCGCCCACTTCTTCAAATCCGATCTGCGCATCTTCACGGCTTGCATACCCAGGAGTGGATTGCATCTCCGCTGACCGCTCTTACAACTTCATGACTCTGCGCACGTAATCTGACACGCTTGTCGCATGCATGGAAAGTGAAACACGCCTGTGCGCACGCGGAGCTGCTATAATGCCCGGGCCAGTTCCAGCCATCGGAGTAGTCCCCCACGACTCTGGCCTTGAAACCTGAAGCTGGGCAGTCCTTTAGTGCACGTTAAGTTGAGTTGCAGGAACGCTGCGAGGGCTTATTGCCGAGGCTCTGATGGTATAGCGGATCGACTTCACGACGGAAGGCACGTCTTCGAATTTCTCGTGGGAGCAAGCTCTCCTTCTCCTCCTACAATTTCCGTTGATGTTCCATCCCAGCTTGAGACCGTCGGACACCTCGGTTCTCTCGTTCTTTGTGCAAAGTCTCCGTGGCAGTCGAGGCCCAGGCCTTCGTCCGCTGGTCGAATTGGCAATCTTCGTTTGTGCCCCGCCAGCCATAGACTTAGCAAAGCTCACAGCACAGCCCAGCAGTGAACAGGCATCTCTCGTACCAGCAAAGGAGATTGACGTGCATCACAGTTCCTGCGGCAGAGTGCATGATGCCACCTTTCAGAGATATTCAGGGGCCAATGAAAGGCACTTCAGTGTCATTTCCGCTGCAGCTCTTTTGCTTGGTCTCTGTGTGTGGGCAAAAAGGAAAGGAGATCCCAATGCAAGCAGTGGTTGGCGATTCTACCCCACTGCTGTCTCATCCTGCAGAAGACTCAACCCTTCTTGAGCAGTGCCACAGGATAGAGTGTACGCCTAAACAACTGAATTCGAGTCTGGACCTGGACGACTACAGGATATGGTCCCTGTCCGCATGAGAGAGTTGGCTTCTCATGCCGTTGTACCACCACAGGTGAAGGAACACATCTGGGATTATGGAACAGCGGAGAGGGAACACTGGAAGATTTCTCACCTTCGTGTATGTGACTACGCGTGGAGGTACACGGAGGCAGAAGGGTTATGTTGGACACATTTAGCCGAGAAGCCAAAGCCAGACTTCCAGCCAACCCTCCCAAATTTCTCGCCACTGTCCACGAAGCGTCGACGGTAGCTCTCATCCGTATATGCTCGCCGCCTGACTAAAGGCTGTCAACCGGACTCACGCCTTATACAAAACGAACAGAGGCTGTCTCAGTTCGATTCTGCTACTCGGCCTGGCCTGCGGCGGTGCGACGGAGAGGTCACGTGCGGCGGTAGGTCCGTGTTGTCAGTGAAAGTAATCCTCAACAGGAAACATCAAACAGCACTTTTTGAACTTCGCAAACAAAAACGGTCTGCGCAAAGTCTTGGATTCGACGGACTCGACTGGCGACTTGAACATGCAACCAGGCGACTCTGCACGTTGCGTTTGCTCCGAGTCGCTCGCCAAGCAAAGATCATTCCAGCTACGGATCTCAACCGAGTGCCTGCAGGAAGGAAATACAACCGCGCAGGCTGTTTACAACGGAAACAAGCATGTCCAGCACGCGAAGCACCCAGTGTGACGTCCGGACCGCACCGAACTCTGGTCTCCGGACCGCGCCTTTGCAGCCACCATCGTTCTTGCTGCGATGCGCCGATGAAGTCCTGAGAAATCTGTCAGTGGGACAATGAAACGACGAGGAGCAGAAGGCGCAGAGCTGGTCTCGTCTGCAGCTGGCGTCCGTGAGGCTGTTGGACTTGCTTCCCGGAGTGGTTCGGACGCCTGCACAGAACATGCTCGGAAGTCCGGAAGCCTCTGGTTGCACAAGCCTCATAACAGCGTTGGCACACCCCGAACTCAAGATATCTCTGCAACGAAACGATATCCGACGCCACATTAGCAAGTTGCATGCGACACGAATGCCAAAATGGCTTGGAAGAGGAAACTTGGAAGAGTCACAGAAGCGAGGAGGACGAAGAGGTGGGAAAGCAGCCAAGCCCGAGGCACATGAATACGGTAGAGTATATGCATACGCAACGCATGCATGTGTCAACGTCCCAGCATGTTTAAGTACGAAGCGCGAGGAAGTGGGAAGAAACCTCAAATGAAGATTAAGTATGTGGCTGCCAAGATCGACGCCGGTTACCTTAAACCTCTGCAAACCTTCAACCTAGTACCTGAAAGCCTTGTAAACCCTGCGTCTGTTGCCCGAAGCCCCTACAACCCTGCAAGCCCACACCTCTTACACTCCAAACTCACGCGCGACATCTAAACCCCCAGAAGGTTCACCGCCATGGCACAAGCCACACACTGCAGAGCGGAAAGGCCCGGCCCGCCCTTCGGATCCACCCACTCGCCGTCCTACGAAAACGCAGTGCCGGTGACCGCTCCAAGGAGCGCAAGGACCTTGCGCAAAGGCAACGGGGGCCCTACCTGGCAGATGATGTTCTGCGAAGGCAAGACCTCGACATGAGCGTGTTTTGATCAAGCAAGCTGCCGAACTCCACAAGAGTCGAAGAAAAGGACCAAAAGCAAAAGCTGTGACGCTTTACTGCCAAGGATCGTCATTACCATATCGATTCAAGCCTTGGTCACTGACGACAGAGAAGTTGCCCAGGCGCAGCTGATCGGCTCCGCTCAGCATTACATGAATTACATAGACTGTATCAGCTGTTCATGAGCATTTCACAATGACTGTCAGGCTGCCAGCATAACGATCGTCACAACCTGGCCCAGCTGGACATCTAGGGCAGCAGAGCCGATTGCTCAAACGGGCATGGCTCCGTGCCTACGGAAATCATCGATCCAGATTGAAACAGCGATGGCAACGGCCGCTTCATTCTTGAAAGCTGCCTTGCTCAGCTAACTGTTTGTAGCGCCATTACACGACGTACACACATTGAAAACCACCCTGAAGCTCTCACTGCAAAGCAAGGCCACACGGCATGCTCCGATAAAAGCATGTGCGTACAGTGGCCACACTCTGAGATGCCGCTCCCACCGTGGATCAAAGATGCGTCGCACTGGGAGATCAGGTCCTTCGTTGGACTTTCGTCTTTTGACCAACACGACTCAACACAACAGAGTCTTCTTCAGACCCTCTCGTCTGGAGCAAGCTCATAAAGCCTGTGATCTCTACTTCAACAGCCTGACCATCTAAAGTTGACCATCAAAATGCTCCCCTTGTGAAACGCACCTCGAAGAGGCAGCGTCCAGAAGTGTCAGCACCATCAGCAAGCCACTTCTCACGCTTGATCGGTTTGCACCTGATGGCACGTCCCGTCTGACGCCAGCACATGCTTTGCCGGTCCCAGCATGGTAGCTACAGCAGCAGAAGGCGAGTCCACACTGCAGGACCACTCCTCCAACTCGACTCTTCATCACATGCATTCGGGTGAAGACAAGGCACGACTCCGGATTTGCAATGAGACACGCCCTCGTCTTGGCAACACCGAACAGCTCGCCATGGCTGTTCACCTCCTGTACCAAACTTCCGCAAGAGCTGTACAGCCGACACACAGTTACCTGAGATCTGCCAGTGCACAATCCGCGCCAAGCGCATGAGATGTGCATGTTCTCAGTGCAGCTCAAAGCTGAGAGACGTCAGTATAAGAGCCCGTGAAGTAGAAGGCACATGCTTCCGTAGCGGTGTCGTAGTCTCCGCTTCGGCAGGCTGTCTCACATCCTGCCAGCTCTCCAAGACTTTGGAGATAGGAACAGATGCCACTCTAGGCCCTGACCAATCAAGGCATGAGCGGTCCTGTTGCGCCAACCCCAACCTGTCCATGTTCAGTTTCGCTTCCATCGATGCAGACACTGTCCGTGCTTGACAGGTCAAAGCAACAACCATGCGAGAAAGGTTGACTTCTTAAAGCTGCTTGCTTCCAGGACACCAACGACAGCATCATGTATTGCGGTTCGCACGAAAGGCTTCCAGAGACCTATGCAGCACGTAGCGGTGGGCATCAAAAAGCATAAAGATAGACCAGTGACTTGAAAGACTGTAGTCAGCTGACCATAGTTCCTCCCGTCTTTTCGGACTGGGACCATGACCATGGCGTGCAGTAACTGGCCAAAGCTACTCCAAACACTGGCATGCCTAGTCAGTTCTTGCAACGATCGTCTCAGCGGCTCGTCACGGGCTGATAAGTGCAATCACAGCTTTACTGTCAGTCAGGGAACCAGCAATGTGCTCGCGGGCACAAAGTCATTATCACTGCCTGGTGGCATCCTCAGTGCTCTCTGTCATGATGTGTATGACAATTCACGGCGAGTGCACGGCAATGCAAACACGTTGATCTGACGCTTCTGCTGCCTTGCTTGCAACCGTTTTCATTTACACGTCAGACCGCACAGCAACAGGTTGAAATTTGGGGCCCTGAGCCACTGAACTTAACGCTGGCATTCAATATCGCTCTCTTACGCATTCCCCCTTCAGGCGGCAATGATTATGGCGAATCACAACAATGTAGCTCCAAGGCTCATGGAAAAGGTTGTTTCCGTAACTGGTGGATTTGCTCCAAATGCTCCGCTGAAGCATTCGCCTTAAACAGGGAGTCTTCCAACTCAGGCGCCTCCTATGCCCCACAACAGTCCGCAGTTCCTTCCCCTCTGCATCGCGTTTCGCACGGTGCACCAAATGCGGCTAGGCCGAAAAGCTGACCCGTCCGTCCGCTAAATTTGTGACAGCTCCTTCAGCCAGAACTGCAGCACGGTGGCATGGGCCGAGCGAGTAGAAGTGCCCAAGGCCGCTTGGGGCATCCGGATCCTTGTGTCAATGATGTAAACTGCAGTGCTAGGCAACCAAATGTTAGAAGTTGCTCTAAGCACGGCACGTCGAAGGTAAAGGCCTCCTCTGCATGTCACGGCTCAGCTCGAAGTTGAGCCCAGAAACTGTAGTGCTGTACACAAGTGGACGAAGAATATATGTGTTTTGGCTTCTGGTGCGCGCAACATAGCCCAACGAAGGAGGTGGCGCGCAAAGTTGGGAGCTGCAGTGGGGCAGGCGGCCCGAAGCAGTCGGAAGTTCGCAGAGAGACCATTGTTTCCCCTCCTCGCAATCCCCTCGAAGCTTCCGACCTCCGCTCCGCCTTGGTTCTTCGGACGCATTGACCGGGTTCCGGCACCCTCTCCTGCCGTCCTTCCTTCTCCGTCCCTTTTGTGCGGACGACGCCAAGCGTGTTCAACTAGTGAGCCTACAAGAATCTCAGCTTTGGCCGGAGAGCATGTACGTGTTTACCAACGGTGCACCCAAGAAGATGGGTCAGTCTTGGCTACAAACTAAGCATCCTGGCATTGACGGATCAACCCAGAGAGCCAAGCAGCTGACGAGCATTAAGCTTCAGGCGCTCGGACATGGAATCGTTGTCGCACAGCCGATCAACGTAGACAAAGGCAAAAGACGCAGCCATCACCCTTCGACGTCATACAGTCTTCAGTCTTCACCAAAATCAACAACGCCATGCAATGATCGAATCTACGCAGAGCTCGATTCCATGTTGCACGATGGACAACTGTTGAGCAGCGATTTTGGCCGAGTATACTGGGCTGTCATGGGCCCGGCTTCGATTGTCCCTGGACCGGATGGAATTTTGAAGCGCCATCTAGCTGCTGAGCTGTCATAGGGCGACGTTCGGGGGCAAAAACAAATTTCAGACCAGCTGGTAGGTGCTTATTCGTTTTGTCATCGTACGAACAAAGGCACTCCTCCACACCCGCACTGAGCCTCCAAATTGAGATTCCGCAACAGAACACACAGGAGGGGCTCGGATGTTGCTTTGGGCCAGCGGGCCAATGCGTTTCTTGACGACACGTTGACCTCTACAGCTGCGTGTCGAACAGATCTGAAGCCAGCGATACATTGAAGTTCTGCAGTGACATCTAGGTAGCACTAGCACCCAACCGTGAGCACTGCAAGGCAGACTGGCTCCTCACTGGTCAATTCGTCCTTCTCCCCTTTCTTCTTGGTTGCACGCCTTTCTTCCAGCGGATTTGCACACCTAGGCCATGGGTGCAACCAGCAAAGAGAACTGGCTCTACCACAGTCATCCTTGATGCCGACACCCACTGGAAACAAATTTGGGTACGAATTCATCAAACATGCTTGGCTTACAGACTGTGCTTCTTTTGCGGAGTCACATCCGCGCGACTGGCACCATATGCACTTCATCAGTTGGAGCTGCCTCATCATGGGAACATGAAACGTCGCCTCGGCGACCTCAACAAACAATCATGAGAGAACACACGACAGCATCCGCCTGCCTGCGCACGACTCTCCACATAGCTGGTGTCAAGGATTGTAAGCTGAAAATCCGACTTCACCTCGTCCAACACAGCATCTCCGATGCTCCAGGACTTGCTTCCAGAGTCGCCTCACGTGCATAACCATAACTCATACGCCATCGGCTCACGCCGTCTTGCGAGATGTTTTCAAAGCAATCGCCCCGCATGTGCGTCTGGGTTGTGTGGTGTTCTATAGCTTCTACAGGCTGTAGGATTTCAACCAGGTCTGTATGAGGTAAGTAGGGGGTGCTCTGTAAGGCTACTTGTGGAGGAGGGACAGCAGTGGAGAAGCCGAGGCAGGCAAACGGATTTTTCTGCCTCGCACGCCAGCGCTGCGCGGAGCAAGCACAGCCGACGCAAGGTCGTTCCCGGAAGCAGGAGCAGCATGCGAAGCTTGCAGGCGAGGTGCGGCAGGAGCAGCAGGAAAGCATGTTTACCTAATGGTTTGGAGGAGGAAGATTTCCGAGCTGAGTCTTCTGTTGCTCCAGCTGTTGCGGAACAGACGCGCCTGAGCATGCGCACGAGGAGACATGACCAGGAGCCACCGTAAGACGACCGGCAGCAGGAGGTCGCAGTGTTGCATGGCGCTGTTTTGTGCCGGGGTGTGCGGAGGTGCAGCAACGTTTGGCAGTATTTTGGGCGGCCCTTGCCCCACTTCCCTTGTTGCAACCTTCGGTTGATAAGAAACTCCGCTAGCCCCGGAAGCTGGCTTTCGTGGTTCTCGTAGATTCCTGGTTTCCTTCATGGAAACGAACTTGGTATATGGTTTTCATGCGAGGATATCTGTGTGTGTGTGTGTATATATATATATATATATATGTGCGTGTGTACCGTATGTTATCACGTAAGTCCTTCCTGTAATATAACCAAGGGACACGTGACATTATACGTAAAGGTTCCTGCCACATGTATGTGTGTGTGTGGGTGGAGGGGGGACAGACAGGAGTTCCGATTCCAGCCGAATTGGCCCACGGAGTGGAAGCAGGCCAGCACGTCGCCCCGCAGCTCCACGTACTCGCCCTGGAAGAAGTCAAGAGAACTTGCGCGGCGGATCACCCAACCCGTGCCTGCCACATCACGACAAGCACATTGGGAGAAGCGTCAATGTCCCCATGAGTGAAACTCGGGATATGCGGATTTCACCGCATGCAGATAATCAGGGTAGTGGGCCTAGTTTGGCCTCACCTGAACCTAATCCTCGGATCTTCGAAACCTCCAGGCTGAACGATGCATTCGAGGCGTCGTCTTGGGGCAATATGCAAGATGTTCCGCACAGCACACAGTTCCCTTCTTGTCGCACAGTTGCGAGCCTGTTGGGCAACCCTGCAGCGTCTCTCTCGAAGGCTGCCAGGGCGAAAGGTACAATGTGGCTTCTTGCACCTCACCTGTTCCGCAGAGTGAGCAGTCTTGAAGGCTGAAATACCGTGTACAAGCGAATCTTTAAGCAAGGACCGCAAGTCCAAGAAGCGAAAGACACTCCAAAGAGCACTTCACCGTCAAGCATCCGCCTAGAGAGGCACGGAGCGAAACTGCCCGTCGAAGTCAGAGCGACGGTGCCACCGTCAAAACTCAAACTGGAAGGAGGTGAGTGTGTGACTTGCCGCATCGACATAAACAACGCTAAGAGTGCACTGCTGCACGAACTGACACACTGCCTGGGCAACGACAAAACGCGAAAGAAAAGGAGAAAGACAACGAAGCAGTCTTGCGAGACAGGCTCAGATTGCAAAGCAGGTTCCGAGCTCAGAGCTCCCGCAAGACTGCAGGTGACTGCAGGCAAACAAGCCATCCGTCCACTCACAGAAGACAACCCAGAGAGCCGGCTTTGCTCCGAGGCCTGGTTTTGCGTAGTAGGGTAGCAAGCCATCTTTCCTTGGGGGGAGACGCATCGGAGACTTCGACGCACTGAAACAGCTCATTTCCGCTTTAGCTCTTCTTGCCTTGCCCTCTTCTTGCTGCTTTCTTGCACTTCCAGGCGGCTCACCATCACTGGCTGGGCAGTAGACGCCCTCCAAGAAGGCAGCCCCACCGCCCTTCTTCGACACGGAAAGACAGTTGCTCTGGGCATCACCTTGGCCGTCAGTAAATATCAACAACGTGCTGGAAATCGCGTCCAGAATAACTCAAAACACTAAACATCGCAAATGCTGGCCCAAACAGACTGTCAAGTCACAATCTCTGATACGAACCCATGCGCTGGAAAACTCGGCGACGCCGCAACCACGGCAGTCAAGCCCCCAGTTGGGTGCAGCAGTCTGGCACGCCCCACCCTGACAGGATGTGTCTACACTCTACACGCTCCGGAAGTACGGAAGGCAAAAGCGCGCGGCCATCCCCTGATGCATCCAAGCTTCTTGAGTACACCAGCCTTTGCACATTTTCCCCGCATCACAGAAGCCTCAGTGTCGCAGGGCGCCCTTAAGACTGTTCTTGGAGTCTGACGTGTTTCGGCCTCGTTCGAAGAAAAGCTTGCGCGTCTTACGCGTACCAGCAGCTAGCATGGCATCAGGTCTCAAGTCCCAGACAACCGAATCGAAGCCGTGTCACAGGCTTCCGGGCAGGACTCGGAAGCCACGGAGCGCGCTGAGAAGCACGAAGGTGCCTGTTAAAAGTGCAATGTCACGCGGAAGCTGCTGCAGGTTTGCAAATGTCGTGCCACCTTGCCCATGGCTATTCCAGACACGGTGACATGGCTCGTCTTCCGCACGAACTCGAAGCTAATCTCACCTGATAGAGCCGCATCTTTGGCTCGTTCGTGCGGGTGCTGTTTTCCTATAATCATATGATGCTTTCGAATACACCCCAGCCATGTCACCTAAGCTGAGGCTTCGACCTGCAGCAGTTGCTCGCGTGAAGCCTCCCGACGCACTTCAGCGAAGGTCGGCTCAGCAAAAACGAGGCTGAAAAGCCCTCGGCCTGTCTTCGTCGCATCTGCTTTTGGCCAGGCGGTTGTCGAGCCGAAGCTCTCGCCGTTGACTTGCAGTGGATTTGTACCGGCAAACCTGGCAAACAGCGGCGGCCCCTTCGAAAGCCCCATAGCTGCGCCTCCAAGCCTCGAGTTCGTCCCGTATTGGTAGATTTTCCAGGCGTACAGCGCCCCCGGCTCCAGACCAGAAACCACGGCCATTCCACTGCCGTCAACGTTCCGCAAGTACCCGTTCTGGTAGCCCCGGGTGTGCGTCCAGCCCGACAAGGTGCATTTGTAGCCGTTGCTCAGCGTGTACTCGTACTTCGTGCTTGTGTCTGTGCTGGTGTCTCCACGATCCTTGCAACACTGAGTCCGCACATTGAGGAGCTAAGTGCACGAAGAGTTGTACTTCCAAAAAGCGGCGGAGAATTACTGCATCTTTTGACCTGTTTTCGGTGGGTCGCGATCCTCGTCGTCCCTCCCCCCGCGCTGTGGGGTTACGACATTACGAGACTTTTAAGGAGCTTTTCGCCCTCTACTCAACACTGCTCCTCCCCACACGCTTTTCTGTGAGAGTTGATTTGTCTTGTCAGCTGTTAAGGCAACTATTCTCCTCTCCCCCTCCTGCACTCATCTCTGGAAGCCAACACCAAGTCAGCAATTGCTGTCTCCGGGCATCGGCCAGGCGTCGTTAAAGTTATTCTCGGCAAAGCTGGACAAGGCCTCCCCATCCTCCTCAAAGGGGCGAGGCTGCGAGGCGAGGCTTGGCGGCTCGCGGCCACTGGCGGCCACTGGCGGCTCTCAGTCCTCCTCTTGGTATGCGGAGCAACCGGCCGAAGCCCGGCCTGCAGATTTCGGTTTTTCGCTCAGAACAGAGAACTGCTCAGGCTCAGGGCCCGGCAGCGACTGCGACAGGTTCCACTTCCTGGCGGCATATGGCGGCGTGTGCGTGCGACTCTGCGATTCTGTCTTGCAGGCATAGCTCTTCTCCTTCCAGCTTCTCAAGGCGTGTCCAGGTTTTCTCGGGACCTGACACATGCTGCCAGCAAGTGTCATCGCGGATTACCACCTGAGTTGGCTATGGGGAGCGACAGCCGCATGAACTGACTCAACTTGGCTCTGAGATTCACGCGGTGATGCTGTGCTTGAGAAACTTGGGCAGTGATCCAGGGGGTTGATAGGCAAGCTCCCCGAAAATCGTGCACCTGGACCGTCACCGTCGTAGCCAAAAAGGATCGAGCTTAGCTCGTCTGACATGGAACAGTCTCTTCTTTGCTTGAATAGGAAATGCTCGGAACAAGCTGCTGGAGTTGAACTTTGCAGCGGGAAGAAGCACTGCATCTACCCAGGACTCCGATGTCAGGGATGCCTCACTCGCTGCACGGCAGCACTCGCAGATGTCGGACAGCGGCAACCCCGCCCACAAGATGCCTGTGAACTCCCCACTCAGCATCTCCAGACGAAAAGCGACATGGCCACGAACCAGGACGTCGCCTGCTTCACGTCTGAAGTGACGTAAGACTCACACAAGGCGATGACTTCAGCAGTGTCAACTGCCTGTCGTCGTGTCGAAGGAAACGTGCTCGCCATCCGCATCGCACGCTGCATAGAAGACCACCGGCGGAGTGAGATGGTCGGAGCCTCAAGTCTCTCCACGCGCCGCCGCGCTTTGTTGACAGTGATGGCAATCACACACAGCGCACTCTATAGTGCTTCCGCGCAATTCCTCCACCGAGACACCGTCTGCAGATGCTACAGCCACTGGAGGCACTGCTCGTCCCGCCACAAGGTCCAAGACAGATCCGACGGACACCTCAGCTTCGGGCAACCCAGCCGCTTGAAGTCTTCAACAAAACTGCCATGATTTGTCGCCCCGAGCTGAGCGGCCTTTTTGTCCTCTGTAATCACTTGTCGCAGGTCCATGGCCGTCCACTGCCGGGGCACCACGACAGGCAAGGGCAGCGTCAGGTCTGTTGTTCCGTTGTACGCGGTGACGGTGCAAAAAGCGGCGTCGGGTGCCTTGGCTTCAAAGGCTTCAGTCGAAAGATAACACGAAAACGAGAATTCGCACTGAGATCAGCGCAGCAGAATTGGGACGCTACGCCTGTCTTGAAAAGTCGGGATGCTCCAATATTTGATGATGTAAGGGCCCCCGTTTGCTGATCGATCGTCAGCCACGGGGCGTGTGGTGTACATGCCACACGCCAGTTGCTGTAGGTACTACTGCTGGATGTGCGGGGCAAGTAGGGGCTCTCTGCTGGAAAAGAAAGAAGCTTCCCCGCATAGGCGAAGTGCTGCAAACTAATCTTGACCTTGGAGGCTTGCAGAGCAACAACAATGCTGCCAATGCTCAGCGACTTACAAAAGGACGGAATTTGGAAAGATTTCGGCGCCCCAAATCAAACCTGCTGCTCACCTGCGAGTAGCACTGCTGTTCTCAATCAAGCCTTTAGACTCGTCCTGCACCGCTTGGATGACACACTCCACCTCCACAGGTTCCTCTGCCGTGGGGATACCCGAGATTTCCCCCGTCTCAGCATTGAGCTGCAAACCAATCGAGTGCAAATCACATCCTGAGCCCTCCAGCACGCCAGCCACCCGGTAGCTGGAAGCGGTACGCGGGTGGGGCTGGTCCTGTCCAGCAACAGTACTTCCGACTGCAGCACGGGACCCACTAAAAATGCTTGCATTGCCCAACGCGTCCTTCATCGTGGCACCCAGAACAAAAGATCGGAGGTTTGCCGAGTATGTGAAGGGAGTGCTTGTTTGTAGACCACCGCCGCAAGCACAGCAGGCATCCACAGCGCTGAGTCCTGAAGCCGTGCGACACAGCGTCCACCAAAGCCATTCTACAAGGCATGTACCGGTTCACAAACACCAACCGAGTCGCCGTTGTATTTGTACTCTGCCATGGCGACATGAGCCGCAATGTTGGCGTTGAAATCAGACGGGTTTTTGCTGCCATCCTGGCAGATCCCCTGGGCCTCGGAGAAAGTCTATCAAATGACCGGTCTCTAAGAAAAGGCCTCGGCCTACCTGCTAAATCTTTCAGATAGCCGGCCACATAGTCTGCGCAAGTGTGGCCAGAAGGGTCCACGAAACCCGGAATGTCGCGACAGGCAATGCATCCACCGGGCCCTTTCCGAAATCCTTAGCTGAGATGCGGCCAGCTCGTGCTCCAAAGACAAGTCTCCACTTGCGCAATGTACCCAGCCAAGCTGGCTGCAATAAGACACAAGTTTGAAGGCAAGCGTCCGCCAGCACAGCTGATGCAACTGGATCCAGAAACTTCCGCGCAGCCCGAACAAGTAGTCCTAGCGCAAGCAAGTACACGAATGCAGAAACGCCGCGAAGTCCAGACTTGTCCGTCTCTTCCAGCCGACAGCAAAACAATAAATAAGTCCAAGGAGCTTTGCCGCATCACAGCAGCTCAGAACTGCGTCACCATTGCTCGCAAAATTCACCAAAGTGGTTTGCTCAAGGGAGCCTTAGACAAAATGCCCGAGACCATCCACATGGCAGGCTGCTGGCTGCACTACCGACAGAAACAGAAAGAGGCAAAGAGGAACTTGTAGAAAAATCAAGAAAAGCGAGTCGCAACATCCTCAAGCAATTCTAAAGGAGTAGCACTCCATGCTGCCCGAGTTGCACGCCACAGCTTGCCTTCCAAGCGAACTCCAGAGAAGACTAACACTGGCATTGTGGATGCTGTGGTCCTTCAGCATACAGAGCGACACACACACACACACACACACACGCGCGCACACACACACACACTACCTGCATAAGGTTCATACATACGAGCGTACATGAATACGTCATTCATACACACATAGTGTACGTACATACATATGCACATACCGAATTTACACAACATACTTATATCATATCTTATATCTAATAGCTCTAATTTGCACATACACAAACGCCACGGAACGACATGGGTGGTTGTCAAAATTACGGTCCCTTTTGGGGTCCTTATTATGATACGGCACCTATTATTTAGGGTACCCCAAAAGGGACCATAATTTTGACAACTACCCACATGTTCCAAAGGCCGAACCAGAGACTCCTCCGTGCCCACGGTCGGCTTCTTCTTGCGAGCTCGGCACTGCTCGAAGAGGGGGCCCCCCAGCTCTGGAGGTGCCAGCTCTTTCACATGCACCTTGGCTGTGGAGCGCCCCAAAGCGAAAGCACAGCTCCGTGTCCAGCACCCACCGAGCCGAGCCTTGCGGCCTTCTGCACCTTCGATAGGTTCTTGCTCGCTTGGGCCTAGGATCCGAGGTCAAACGCCCTTGCCGCGTCTTGCCGGAAGCTTCTCGCCGACGCAACTTGACGCAACTGAACGGCCCCGGTGAAATATAAAGAAAGTAGCGCACCAACAAACAACTAAGGAAGCCCTCAATGAATGAACGACTGAATGGTGAGAGGCTTGCTGTCGAAAGGGTTTCAGCTGAAAGATGCTGACGCACCGACGCTCAAAGACTCTAAGCATGTGTGCTTCGAGCATACCGAAGCTACAAATAGCAGTCCCGCCCGAAGCCTTCAAAGCATGCTTCGGCCAGGACCGCACCTGCAACATCCGCATCCTCAAATGGCTCCATCACGTGCCGTGTTCGGACCTTCCACAGGTGCCACAAAGCAATACTTGCGACGGCGAACGAAGCTAGACACACAAGGCATGCTTCTTCGTGAACCGACAACGGGACTGGACAGCCTGCAATAAGGCTGCAGTGGGAGTCGCATGTGGCTCACCTGGCAACGACAATCCGCATTGATGCTCATTCTCCTCGCCAAACCTTGCAGCATCTTCGCTGGGTAATCTGAAGCTCCTTGTCCCAAAGTGTACGGTAGTTCTTGACACCCATGACAGCATTGCCGTGGTGCTCTCGAACTCATCCCATACGCATAGTCACAAGAACTGAAATGCACAGCAGCATTTGCTAGCCTGGAAGATTTGCGTGGGACGATGACGCCCCAGCGGTAAGCAATATGAATCCCTTGGTGCCATGTCATGCGCAACTCAAAATATGCTGTGATGCGAAACGCACGACGACAACTGCTCAAGCTAGGCGGCAATGACACTCTGCATGCCCGCGTAGCATGCACGCCTCAGTTTAGTCAAAAATGCACACACCGATTTCGTGAGTGGTCGGTTGCTGAAATCGTGAGGTTGCTATGTACATCCACGCCAATGCCATATGTGACATGTGCACCGGTATTAGGCTATTGATAAATCGACAAACCTAGAGCTCACAAGGGACAAGAGAGCAAGGAATTCGGCACAACCAGATCTTAATTTCCATGCGCTAAGTCCTTGCAAAGCCTTGCCACCCAAGTGGCAGAGCAACGGTAGCGCAAAGAAAATGTACGCTGCAAGCCGAAGGACATGAGTGCAACATGATGCACCAGGCTTCAAACAGAACACGACAAGTCCAAGCCACAACCGCCAACTTCGCGCACCTGACTGAGTTCCTTTCGCAGAACGAAATCAAGTGTTTATCTCGACAACAAGCCCTCGACAACAAGCCGCCATTATTCCGCAAGCAGACACTGCCTACTGCCTATATCGAACCATCCTCATGACAATTTCAGCTCTTGGGGGTCGGCGGCACTGGGCCACTAAGTCGGGCAGCGCTCGGTCCCCGAGCGCGCGCGCCCTCCTGGTCCGAGCCTCAAGCGACCTAACCTTGCTAGCTTTGCTTTTAGCTCAAGGAGCGACCGCCGGTGCCGCCGACCCCACCCAATTTCGAGTTTTTTTGCGCAATTTTGGGGTAGCCATGGGTAGCCACCAAAGGGCGCGCATCATGAGCATCAGCGGCCCCAGTCCGGGACCCGGGGCGCGCATCATCAGCATCAGTACGGTCCTGGGCACACGAGGAGGGGGAGAAGGTCCCCCCCCGTCCTTGTCAAATGTTGGAGCTCAAGTTTATATCGGTTTGTCCGGCTGCTACCTGCGCTGCCCGCCGGTGGGCGCACCCCATAGAATGGAGTTTTCGGCTTTTTTGCAAGATCTCTACACCCGACGTCCTAATATCGAGGCTTCAAGGAGCAGTCAACAAGAAACGGGAGCTGAGCAAGGCAATCAATCGATTGCTGGCAGCGGGTCTTGGCTCTAGATGGAACACGAAACCGAAATCAAGCTTTCCACGGCTCTTTGCAAAAGGCTGGGCTTTTTGTCGGTTTCGAAGTGTTGCTCTTGGGAGCCGCTCCTCCGCTCTTCGGAGGAGCGCGAAGCCTCTGTGGGGAAGCTTTGCCCCTTCGACTTCGCATAGCGGCATAGCGGAGCATCTCGAAAGGAGGTGTCTCAGAGAAAACGTGGGCCTCGCTTCTCAGGTAGTACTTGGCACGTCCGACAGGCACCTGGGAAGGAAGCGGTGCAGCACAGATTCGCCGGCTCCAGTAAGGTTCGATGCTAGGGCTACCTGTTGGCGATGCCCAAGAAAAACACTGAACGTTCCAGTAAGTGACTTCTCGTTGTTCCGCTGGTGATCTACAGAAGCTGCCTCCCGTTTCCAACCAAGACCTCCGCACGTCCAGCTTTACACAAACAGGGCCTCCGGGCTGTCTCACTTCCAGCTTGCGATGAGCTCCAAAGTCTCATCTTCGACGTCTCGGGGCTGTTTTGAGAGCGCCCGGAGCAGGAGTGACCAAAACGAAACTGCATCGCCGGAGCGAGCGATGCGCCCAGGTGCTTCCCAAGCGAGGAGTCTGGGACGGGCAATGATCGACAGGTGCACTCGCAGCACGCGACTGCAAAGCGGCTAGCATTTGGAAGATCTGATAAGGAAAGCCGTCCAGGCTTTTCCTGTAAGCACTGCACATGTCCAGATCTGCGACATCATCAAGAGCTGTGAAGGTCTTGATGCGACCTGCAGCATGCCATCAGCCAATCAACGCATTGTCCCTGCACAAGATCGATTGAATCACAAATACTGCAGCCCGTACCGTCGTCGTCATGGGAGTTTCCAAGAACACCAACTTGATGCCTGTACGCTGTTGGAATCAACAAGCAGGATGGATGCAGATATGGCCAAACCGAGATAGTTGATGGGACCCCGACTCCAAGGTGTACTGCATGTAGACAATCACCGCGAATGACAGTATCAGAACCTCGCGTAAGTATGACCTTTCACTTATGCACAAACGGGAGATTCTGAGAACCCAGCACATGTGCCCACAGCATTGGGCACAAAGTCGGAGGGGTAGACCCACAAGAGGCAGCACGATGACCCGAAGTATGCCACAATGCTGACGACAAAAGCATAGTAGATGGGCCTGCGCAAGGTCCCCACACAGCATACTTCGAGCACTGAAGCAGATCAACCACCAAAGCATGTGACAAGGCGACTGGGGCTCGGGCATTTGTTCTTCTTTGAGGAGAGCTATGGTATCGTGGAATGACTTCATTCCGTCGGGCCCGCGTAGAGCATTTCCTGTTGTCTTGGAACTTTGCTCAACTCCAACTCTAGCAGCTCGGACGGCAAGTTCGAAATGCTCGAAATCCTGGGCCCCAGGTGCAGACCAGAACGGTCCAGGTCACGATGCACAGGTCCAAACCTTGCAAGAGTCTCAGACCGTACACCGTTTGCTTCAGATTTGTACAAACAGCTCTGTAAGTCTCGTGCTAAGACAGATGGCCGTGAATCCCAAGTAGGCGCACTCCAGAGCCGGATGCGTACCTTTCAACACTCAAGGGAGGACATAAGAGGTCTCAGAGGACCTCAACACGTGTGAAAAGCAACTCTTCTCGGGGTCCTTGTGGAATTTCTCGCGTCAACTCGGCCAAGGCGAAACCCGCCATGATGACTGTTGTGCCTTTGCGTCTGGTCCGATCCCTGCACAGCTTCCGCCTCCGGCCTCCGGCCAGCCCCGACCTCCCCATATCCAGTAGTTGTTCGTGTAGAAGTCCAGCTCCTGACAGTATCGCTTCTTGCTTCTGCTTCCGACCCGAGTCTCCGGAACCTTCTGCCGCACGGCTGCTTGCTCCAAGGTCACCTCTCGGCTCAGAGGCTGAGACGGCGAGGCTCGAGGCTCCGAGAACGCGACAAGTTCATGTGTCCACGCTTGCAAACTGCGCTTTCCTTCCGAACCGCGCCGTTGTTGCCCCGTCTGCGGTTGAAGTGCCAAGAGGTTTGCTAGCCTCGCATCGGCCCTGAGCTGTGCCCCTCGCCGGAAGACTGGCGCCAGCACCCGTAACGCGAGACACAGCGATGCTCGAAGGATCTGTGCTGTCTCGGGCTAATCGTGCGCTTTCCTGCGTTAGGAGCCCCATGCAGCACGGCACGACGAGCGCCCGCTGCGTTGTTTCGTAAATTGAACTAGGGTAATTACCAGCCCAGCACAGCGTTTCGGTACGGCAGGGCGAAGAAGGCTAATGCTCAGTCTGGACAACTCCTACATCCACTCGGGCTCGAACGCTTGAGAGTACACTGTTCTTGTGGACGGTCAGCATGCTTGGCGCGCCGGCAGCATTGCGCCCCCACTCCGCTCGTGATGTCGGTTCTAACTGCCTTGCCTGGCACCACTACGAAGGTCGAATCTTCATGCACATGTGGCTTCCAGCACCTTGATAGCGCACTCATGTTCCGGATTCAACCAGTACAAGCACAGCAGATGAGCGCCGGTGATTCTTGTTCGTGCTTATTGCATCTTGTTGCCCGGCTCAGAGAGATGCTCCTAATTAGCAGGCCTCGCCTGAATTATGCCTCACATGAACCCACAGCCAGGGAGGTTTGCATGTCTTCGCTTAGTCTGTACAAACCGCAATACCGGCATGTCACCGGGCAGAGCGAATTCACACGAGGAACAACATGACGGCGATGCAAGGGAGACCTGACTTGCACTCAGTTTCCTCGCGCTTTCTTTCGAGGTGCCTCTCTGACACCTTCGCGAGAACGATCCCTTTTGCTGATGGATTGCACATGCGCTGACAAAACATGGCAGCAGCCTGTCTTCTTCCGCTTTTGGCGCAGCTCTGTGGCCATTACCTGCTGCAAGTAGTTCGGATGCATCCATGCCACATCCTTGCCGTAGGAGCATGTGGAAAGCAATAAAGTGCCTCCAAGCGATCCAGAATCGCCTCGTGGAGCACCTTATTGCTACTCCGACGCTCGGCCCTTGTTCGTCAGGTTACAGAAACCGTCTAGGTTTAGACTTCGGCGTCCCCACCCCCATCTCTGTCTCTGTTCCTTCCTGGGAGCCTGCACCCCTTTTCCCCTCGCCCCTTGCTGACAATACAGTAGCCTGCCATGTTGAAAGCAGGGTCTTCTGCAGTTCTCCACACATTTCGACGGGCTCCGAGGTGGGGGAGCTGTCGGCCTCCTTGAAATGCCGCTACCATGCCAGGTGCCGTCAAAAGCCAACAGTGAACCGTCTGAACGGACTCGTGCTCTTGATGTGAACATACAATACGGCTTTCCAGGAGTTCTGCCGCTGCAAGTCGGAACTTGCAATGCTCCTCAGGTGCCGGCTTGCCCCAGGAATCCCGTCTTCCGATCACACTGCGGTCGGTCTTGGTTGGGTGCAGCACCTCCACATCCTCCACAAAACGTTGTCCAACAGGCCAACGTCTGCACAATCCATGTGCGCCTTGCACGAGGGATTCGATGAAGTTGTCCTTGTAGAGGGCAAGGCAAAGCAAAGCAAAGCAAAGCAAAGCAAACAAGCCCTGAACGCAGATGCCCCACAGTCTCTGCTGGTCCTCGATTAACTCAAGCATATAGAGAGACCAGCGCCGAGTTGGAGGACGGGAGAAGTAGATGTCTTCGGACACCTCCAAACGTCTGATACTTCGTGTGGTCCACTCAGGGCACGTCCCGCGTCCCGCCTCAGGACTTTCTCTGCCTTTGCCAGGAAACGTAGTGTCCTTAAACGCGATCACCTGCACAGCCGTTGCTCGGCTTGGATGTTGCTTGGCAGCCTTGGGTCCTGCCTGGAGCTGCAGAGCATCCTCAGGCTCCTCCCTTGGATCCCAGCCTGTGCAGGCATCGCCCAGCCCAAGACCCCACCCCCGCGCCAGACCCTCGCCTAGACGCGCATAGCCCTGCTGCCAGGGCCCATCCTTCCACTGATACGCGACGAAGGGCAGCAGCCTGCCAGAACCAGCGTTCTCGTGCGAGAGAAGAGGCCCCCCTATTTCGGCATCGGCCAGACCTTCGGAGCCTGTCGGCGTCCATCAGCTTCGCCAGCCTCGGAAGATCCACGGCCCCGGCCCGGCCCCGGCCCGGCCCCCTGCCATTCGGTGTCCGACACTGGCGCTGCCTTCAGGCCGGACTCCAGCCAGACCTCGCAAAGCTCCGACTACCGACTGAAGCGGCCTAGCTTTGTCCGGGCCCGGACGGGTCTCTCCCAGAAGAGCTGCACCAGCTTCTCCAGGAACGCGCCATCCTGGCCTGGGCTTAGGTGGCTCGGCGGTCTCCTGGGGCTTCTGCCCGTTTCCGGGAGCCGCGCGGCAGTAGATCTCGCCAGCATGCTCTGCAGCCTGCAACCCCCAAACGGCAAGATTCGGCGAATTCAGCCAGTGGCACGCGCACCTCCTTGGCACCCATCGCCGGCTGCATCGGTATTGGAGCAGTTGAGTTAAACCTTACCGTGGCCACGACAAGAAGCGCCTGGGACTTTGATGGAAGGCCTGCCTCACGCACTTCATTGACCAGAACTGTCCACAGTCCTCGAGGTCCTCGCATGGTGGAATCTGTTCAGCGATTCGGAGTCTTCATGAGCCTTGTGACACTCGAGCCGATCAGGATGAACGGCTTCTGCTTCCGGCTGACTTTCCGGAAGCTCTACGGCAGGAGGTGTGGAAGCAGGAGGGTCCTCCACCAAAGCGGAGATGCAAAGCGCTCTACAACACATCAAGGCGTGTCGGTCCTCTGCCTCGTGAACCTCAAGCAGAGCCTCCTCACCTCAGCGACACCGGCTAGTGCTTTGTACAAAACCGGGGCCCTTGGGAGACCTGGTGTGCTTGAGGTGCGGCTCCTGCTCCACTGCAAGGCTTGCTCCTGGGAGAGAGGCACTTGGGGCCGGAACACTTCGCTTTCTGCCGTGGCGAGCGGCAGCAGACGCATGCGGTGACTCCTGCAGCTTCGGGAGGCGGAGCTCCGAAGCGAGATGCAAGATGTCCGTGCACACCTGCCAGGCCGTGCTTGGGCCTCTCGACTCTCGGCCCGGGGGCTTGGATAGGCTTCACGCAAGGCCCGCAAGGCATGGCCTTCTAAACTGCAGGGCATGCAAAGTCTCACGGAGACCGATGAAGACTACACGCTAGCTGGACGGAAGGATGTCTGCGGTCTATCGATTGAGTCGTCTATCGATCTCTCCAGCCACCTCTATCTGTAGGTCTGCGTGTCTGCCCTTCCACGTGTTGTATATACATACATATATATATATATATATATATACGTATATATATATATATATACATTTCTGTATACATACATATATACATACATACATACATACATACATACATACATACATACATACATACATACATACATATATACATATATATATATATGATATAATAATATATATAAATGCATTGATCTATGCACATGCAGGTACACAGGTAGATGGAAAGTCAGACAGAGTGTCGCGCAGACCTGCGCTAGAGCCCACCTCCTCTGAGACTTGATGCTTTGTCCAGGTTGGGCTCCCGTAGAGGAAGTCTACCAGAACGCGGATGGCCTCCAAGGCACAGGGGCAAGGCTCCAAGTGGCTCGGCCTTGTTTTCTGTTACGTAGGGAGGCCTCGGCGTGCTTGATGCCGCGCATTTCCAGCTCGAAGGTGTTGCAGGGCATCTGAAGCGGAGCAGAGCAGAGCAGAGCAGAGCAACTTTGGAGGCCGCCGCCTTGGCGGAGCTATCGCAGAGCTGCTTGGCGCCGTCTAAGATCAGCCTGAAAGCCGCGCTATGCAAAGGGCAGCAGCACAGAAACGGCATCTCCTACTCCTACTGCTCCGCGGCGCCTCTTCAGAGCGGAAGAAGATGCTGCCAAAACGGCCTTATCCGAAAGATGCGCTTGCAAGCGTCATCTGCGCCATTAATCGTCAGGAGATGCACGCGATGCGAGAAAACAGTATAGAAGATGCATCCAGCTCAAGAACATCGTACAGTAACCACCCACAAAGAAGGCGCCTGGTGTGCCGGGATGTGAATGTCGCCCACGGTGAGCAGAATATCGCACAGCAAGCCCTTGCCACGATGATGCGAAGCCGGGACTCGACACGTGCACTCCAACGTCCTCGCTCATCCCCACCAAAGCGGAACGCCTTCGCTTGCAACCCTTGCAGGCCGAGAGCCAGGGGCGCCTTTCAGACGAGCAGCAGAGCGCAGCAATTGCGCAGCTTTGCTGACTTCTCTTGGTCGGTCGCCTCGGATACCTCCAGGGCCTCCGAGAGCTGCGAGTGCGAGGCCTCCACCAGATCATTTGTAGCCGACTCCGCATCAGGACGTCCGAAGCTACTGCTCATGTCTAGATCTCTAGAGACTGCGAAGCAAGGCTCGCTGTTCAAGGACATGCTGAAGCAACGCTAGGAAGGAGGGCTTCACCAGACCAAGGCAATACACAAAGGCCAACAAGAAGAACATCACGATATCACCATGTATGGCATCACCACCCTCAGTCTCGAGACCACAAAGGACGACCCTTCCGTTCCTTGGCTGCCCTGCCTCACCCTCGGCTCCCTTGGCTCCCTCGGCTCCGCCCTCGCCGTACAAGCGGTCCAGGAGTCCCAAGGCCTCTCCGGCGACCGCACCACAGGCGTTCACAAAGTGCGCGAGGACGTTCAAAAACAGGACGACCGGCTAAAGCGACGTCCTTGCAAAAGTCGCGACTGTTCAAGCGCCCTTACCATGCTGGTCAAAGCAGAATGCCGTCTCAACGCCTTTGGAACAGCTCCGCTGCACCCAACGCGCGAAAAAAATCCAACAAAGGCAAGGAGCTCTTGGAGGGCAAACTTGCCGTAAACTAAGAAACTGTATGCAGCAAAGCCCGAAACCCGACAGCAACCATGTGCTGCGAGCCTGTAAGAAGCTGTTGTGCGGTTTTCCCGAAACTCAAACACCGTGACCTGCTGTCTGAAGCCCGACACAGCAGAGTGAAGAGGACGGAGGTGAGAAACCCGAGACCGTAATTTCAAGAGATGCTGGATGTCAACTCTGAAAACTCGAACGGAGATGCTGGGCTTGAAGACCGAAACCCATGAACACACCAAGACGGGAAACCGCAGCCCCAATTTACGGAGAAGCGAATTGTGATCAAATAAGGAAAGCTTGGGCACGAGGTCCCTAAACGCAACCAAAAGCCGATGTTGTGCAAAGACCGAAATCCAACAATCGGAGATGTTGGGTGTGAAACTCACTGCCATCAACACCAGCATCTCCACACAACCAGCAACATCATCTTCATCACCACCATCATCACCATCAACATTAACATCATGACATCATCATCATCATCAACATCAACATAATGACATCATCATTATCATCATGAACATAATGACATCATCATCATCATCATCATCAACAACATCCTCATCATCATCGTCGCCCAGGCCCCAAATCGGGAGATGGCAGTGAACAAGGAAACCCGAAATCTGATACGTGGGAGACACCCCTAAACGAGAAATCGGTCGCGAAACCCGAAATCCTACAATTCTGAAACACGGAAATGTAAGGCTTGAAGCAAACGGACATGAGCCCAAGCACCAACCATAAAGAGGCTGAAAAAGGATACCGGGCGTGAAAAACCGAAACCACAGAAAGCCAGAGAAGGAAACGGTACGGCCGAAGCCTGGAGATGGTGGAAACCCGACACCCAAAAGTGTGGTCGACGCGTTCTTTGTTGGGACGCGCACCAAAAGGAAGATGTTACAGGCCCGAAGGTTGGGAATACGAAGGAGGAAATGCTGGGCCTGAAGCTCAAAATCCCAAATCAGCGAGATGTTCGGCTTGAATCCCGAAGGCCGAAGGTAAGAGGATGTCGGAAGTGAGCTCGGATACCCTTAGCACAGAGAGGTTGAATAAGAAACACGACAATTTAGTGGGTGCGAACGAGTACTCAAGATTCAGGACATCTGGGGCGCAGAATCTGAAACATCAAAGTCGGGAGACATTGGGCATGAAGCCCGAAGCGCGGCAGCAACCGGAGATTGAGGATATCTTGGGCCGTGAAACCCAAAACACGAAACTCAGGAGCTGTTCGGCGCAAATCCCGCGACCTGAAAGCAGTGAAATATTCAGCGTGAAACCCGAGACTTTAGCAACACACGACACCCAAGAGTACATGGTTGCGGGGATGAAGCCGAACGCCTAAATGTAAGAACGAGGCCCGAAACCCTAACTAAAAATGAAGATGTATCGCGAGATCCTGGAGTAACGACATGTCGAATGGCAGGCCCAAAGAAGTAGTTGGCTGTGATTCCCGACACTTACAATAGAGACATGTTGTCCGACATGTTGTGGTGCACGATGCCCTAAGCCCTAAACTCAAGAATGTTGGGAGCGGAGAGCGAAACTCTCAGGTAGGAGCAAGAGGATGTTGAGCCCGAAGCCCCAAGCTTGAAAGCCCAAAGTGCGGAGCAATGCTGGACATCAAACATGGAGAAGAAGCCCAAAAGTGGCATGATTTGGCCGAGCAAGGAAATGACGTTCGGCACGATTCGGAGAGCGCAAGGGTGATCTTTTGTCAATATCGTACAGGTGTGATCACTGCAGCAACTCTGTTCTGCTTGTCGAAATATGCACGATCATCATGACCGCTGTTTTTTGACAGCATATTCGCTGGTTTTAGGACTAACGTAAGGAGATGTTGCACGCGAAGAGTAAGAGCTTCTGGAACAAGGAAACGTAAGGCATCAAGCGCGAAAGCCTGGGGTAAGAAGATGTTGGGCATGATGCCCGAAACTACAGCAATGCATGTGAAGCCAAACAGACGTTGGGTGCGAAGCCCGAAACCCTAAAGTAAAGCAGATCTCGGCTCCAACGCCTGCAACCTTACAAGGTGTCAGAGGTGAAGCCCCAGAAATTTCTGGAATAAGGACCTGCCGGGCGAGAGTACACATGTCATGTGTTACATTGTGTTACACAAGATGTAGGGACCCGAAGCCCTGATAAAATTCTGAATAAACCGGAAAACAGTGGAAGCTCGATAAGGCGTATGCGGCCGACGCCCCCGCACACAAAAAGAAAGAAGAACAAATCATTTGCAGTGGCATACTCAGAGCCCTGATGCTGTGGCACCCCCACGCGGTCCGAACCAGTGACCAAAAAGAACGCTGCAGACACGGGACAACATCTTCGACTCTTCGGCCAACGATGTTGGACGATCCGTAGAGACAAAGAAATGGAGAAGCTGGGCATGAAGGCCGAGACCCTACAGTCGGTAGATGGCCTTGCAATAACGGCATGCAGCCAGAAAGAGATGTTGTGCGTGCAACCCGAAACCTGACGCCTCAAAGTAAGGAGACTTTGTGAATGCGGCGAACCAGGTCAGGGTTCAGGGTTCATGGCAAGCGGTGCCGACAATGTCACAAGCAAATCACATCAAATAAAATGCACTTGACCCAGAAATCAAGCTGCGAGCTTCCGCCTGAGATAACCTTACTCTACGGCTACGGTGCTGGGCGGGTTTTGTGGGATTTGGGTGTAAGGATTGCAAGGCAGAAAAGAAAGCAGACATGTTGTGAACAAAAAAAACACGCCAAACTGCACTCAACCTTAGAGTGCAGGCCTCGCAGCAAGCCTCTTGCGCTGCCATGTCCGCACTGAGACGGATCTCCAAAGGCTGCGGCGGCCTGGGCAAACTCATGCCTTCAACAAGACACTCCGATGCCAGGGGAATCTACGTGAACAAGCGGAGATTGCAAATCGGGCGCATTAATCGAAAGCTCCGTCCAGAGTATTCCCGGGGTGAGGACAAGGACAGTTCCGGAGCTGGAGAGCCCTTCGAGGCGTCATGATTTTCATGAGTCGCTCTCGCAGCCGGGACCGTGCCTGGTCCTTACTCTGGGACAGGATGTGATCATGGAGCATCTTGCTTCTGGATGCCAAGACTACCTGCAAGGGCGCTGCTCCGGCGCCATCTTGTGTCACAGTTGCCGAACTCATGCGCTATTCCTGGTGCGCCAGGTACTGCTCATTGCCAGTCGAGATGGCGACGTCGCAGAAGAGGCCCTGCAGGTGTCAGAAGTCCCCCCCGCTACCGGACCCCCGCGACTCCGCGCTCGCACTCCGCTCTCGCAGAGTCTCAGAGAAAAGCTTGGACCTGAGTCTGGAGGGCTCGCAGCGCCGACGCCAGGCGAACGCCGCCGGCCTGTCTCAAACAGCGCTTCCTAGAGCGACCCATCACCCGTGGTGGTTGTCACGCCTGAACTTCGAAGTCTGGATCCTCTGGTCCCATGGCTGAGCTAACGCCCCAGCGGGCTACTGGGTCCCTAAACGGACGAGACCAAGCTCCACCTCAAAGCTGTCTCCAAAGGCCCACTCGCCCCAGCGCAACTCCTTCTCCGAAACGTCTTGTGGCATTTTGAGATGTGGCTCATTTCCTTGTGCATTTCCTTGCAGCAATGAGCAGCTGCACGAACGATGCGGCAATGCATGCTTCCAGGGAACGGCAGTAGGGCGATTCCGAGAAGCAGGAGACTGTGCTTTGGCTCAGGCCCACGAACGCGCTTCATGGCACCGCTACGGCTTGCTACTGCAAGCCAAACTTCTGTACAGGACGGAAGACAGCAATGCTGGTGTCGGCATGCTCTCGGAACATACCTGTGAAACCGGCCTTGGCTCAGGCAATGGGGCATGAGCGGCACTGAGCACAGAGAGCACTGAGGTCTTCGGCGGCCAGCGCCCTCATTGGTCCTCCGTCCTCTCGCCTACTCCAGCTCGGGCCTGACGAGGCACGAAAGAGAGCAAGAGCAGAGGCATAGGACCCAGGACTCTCTGCCCCTAAGCATGCCGGTCAGGCTGCCCATCTTGCACCTGCAGACAGGGGCTGCACCGTCATAATGTGATTCAAACGCCCCTGCCAGGAAGGGTGCCTCCAGGCTTGCGTCAGCTTCCACCGGCATCCAGGAGATGGTCTTCTTGTCATCCATCCAACTGATGCGCAGGATGTGCGGTACCGCGCCATGCTCCGAACAGTTTGCGACTGACGAGATCCTGCCTGAAGTCGATCTGATACAGAGTCCCTGGTGGGACGCCGTCCTTCCGGCCGTCGATGAAGAAGTTCAGTCCCCTCCCTGCCTCAGCTAGGGCGTGCAACCTATGATATGTCCCGCTGCTCTCGTGCCCTAGCAATGCATCCTTGCATCACCAAGTCTTTCGAGAGCTCGGCGTAGTCCGGACCGACGATCTGCTCGGTACTGTCAGCCTTCTTGACGAGGGGATGAATCACCTCATATGAAATCAACACAAGCATCCATGAGGCACAGCCGATGACAGGCACACTGAAACTGGCCTCCAGGTTGTCTTCCGTACACGACAACTGAAACTCTTCGCACAGGCTTTCGCCGAGTTCGATTGTGCAGGTGTACTTGCCGTACCTCTCACAACTTCTGCTGCAAGCCAACAAACAGTCTTCACTTCGACTGACAGCCCTGTTGCCATCCAGCCTCCCTCCATCCATTGCCTGCATGATCGGTCTTCGGTCTGAAAGCGAAAAATCTAGCACCGCACCACAACTGCAATGAGAAAGCAGAATCATGAGGCTGCGTCCTTGACTTATTTCAGCTTGCATCTCAAGCTGGCATGTTGCTTCATGTCTGCATTTGGATGTCTGCAGCCTGAATAGTGGACGCGGTTGTCTGTGCCCGGCTGAACTTCTTGCCGGCCTGATACTCACTATCCCCACTTCGGGCCTTGTAAGTCGCGAATTTGTCCCAAGAACCACTGATGTACAGCGTCTGCCTGCGCATGCGGAGTGGCTTCAGACAGCCCAGGCTTTCTTCGGCGGCCACACCCGATGTGCAAGGCCCTCGGAAGAGACGGCGTCGGCAAGTTGGCCTCAAAAGGAGATGTGTGGCTACAGCGGAGGGTCGCGGAGGCCGATCCGCGGGGCCCAGGCCTTCATGGCCGCCTTGTGCCCCTTCGTCGCGTAGCCGTAGACGTCCGCTCGCGAGTTGGTGCCGCCGAAGCCAAAGGAACTTAGGAACCGCAGCCAGGGCCGCTGCTGACAGCGCCGTGCAGCACGGCTGAGGCTCGGGCGAGACGCCGCAGTAGAGGCTGCTGAGGCCCACGTCAATGTCCTCTGAAAGCTGACCCGCAAATCTCTCGCTCCATGCAAGGAAGAGGGTTCTTCTCGCCCAAGTAAAAGCAAGGACCTCCGTGTCGAAGTAGACGGGGTACCCTTCGATCGTCAAGTGCCTTTGGCTTGCCGGCTTGGGAGACGGTCATCTGCTCTTCGGCTTGACGAGTGCCCGGCGGGTTGATGATGTTGAAGTGGCAGTTCGGCGGGGCCGTGCCGAAGTTGATCATCATGATGCATTTCGTCAGACCGGCGATTCCGGCGCCAGCCTCCCCATGTCTTCAGCCATACTCAATTCTTTGCAAGGCTCAGCACTTGGCCCAAGCCAAGAGGGAGCCTCCAAGTGGGCCACATTGCTCTTCGCACTGGTCTTCAGGATTGGGACCTTGCGCTCATGCCTTGGGGTGCCGTTTAGAGACGTTTAAAGACTCTCTAGAGAGAGAGAGAGAGAGAGAGAGAGAGAGAGGCCCCTTGCCGTGCTGAGTTCAAGACATCACTGCCATAAGCGCGCCGACTTCAATGGGATCTCCGAGAGCAGTTCCCGTGCCGTGGCACTCGGCTATGGACACCTGCGTAGCCATCAAAGCGATGCAATTTGAGGGCCTCGGTGTGATGGAGTATTAAACTGCCGCCGATGCCAGGGCCGTTGCAGTATTTGGGTTGATGCCAGCGAACCGCATTGACTTCTTGATCACTGCCTGGCGCATAGAACTTGTGCATCCGACTGCACGCTGCGAAACCATGGCCTGCTGTGCTGGACCGTTGGGAGCCGTCAAGCTTGCACTCCTGCCGTCCTGAAGATACTCGTTGTAGCAAGGTGTCCCAATCAATGCTACTCAAACATGCCCCGTGACAGAGTGTCCTGGTTGGTTGCTGTGCCGATGAGCGCCTTGAACTTTACCGGTGCAGGACGGCTACTAAGGTCGCCACAAGCCGGACACAGCCTAACGATGTAAAAGACTAGAAAAGACTCTAGGGTCCATCGTAGCGTCTGGGGCGAGTGCACAGACACGCTCTTCTTCATCGCGCTTGTCGCCCTGGTACAGCTTCACGAAAACGCTTCCGCAACCTCGCCGGCTTGGACAAACACCACTTCCGGAAACAACAGACCCCAATTTTCTGAACGCGAATGCCTGGCCTTCACCGCGCTGGTAGCCATCAGCACTGCGGTTGAAGGTGAAGCTGCGGCCTGACAGGCAGGAATCGGGTCGGGGAGGTCAGCTTGTTCCTACTCTTCCACTGCCCTTGCACATACTTTGAGCCCGCCTTGATGCGAAAGCATCGTGGCCATGCAGTTGCCTGCCGGTTGTCCCAGCATGCCATGTTGACGGATGGCTTGTCAGGCAGCCACTGAGAGCCTATGAAGGATCCAGGTCCCAGCAGGGTGTTTACACCCACCTGAGATGCTCCATGTCTCGCACAAAGCACTGCACTGCACTGCGGTAGGAGTCGAGCAATCAGTGCTTCAGCATTGTCAGGCTTGGGTGGGTCCGAGTCGAACATGCACCTCAAGAACGTTGGTTCACTTCAGCGGTTGTCGAGGCGCTGGCGCTGGGGTGTCGGCAAATGCGCGGCGTTCATTGCGACCAAGGAGGCTGAGCACGCGGTGTCCTTCCACGTCTGTGAAATCTAAGAGCTTCGCTTCGTCGGATCCGAGGACCACACATAAGAGGAAACTGGCCCGCGGATATCAAATTGGTGGGCAATGCGTGCAGCTGTGGTTGCACAGCTCATGCTCAGGCCTGGCTCGGACATTAACTTTCCACTTAAGGGTCACCGACCACCTCGGTGCCTTTTCTCGCTGAGGCTTCGGCCCATCATTGTGGGGCATATGTCAGGACAAAACCTGATAGTTCAAATGCAGAGCACAGGACTCAGGACCGGCATGCTTTTCGCTGGCGCTGGCCTTGCCCACTCCGTCTGAAAGCTGTGCCAGTCGGGCCCTACCTGAAAGATGCACGCTGGATGCACGGTGATCCTTGCAATTTATGCGCTATAATCCAGCACTGAGCACCGTGCATCACCAAACCAAAGACCCATGCGCCGGCCCTTCAGGCCTCGATTCGATCCAACATTAATAATACCCAAACGTTGCCAAAAGCGAACGAGCCAGCGGGCTGTTCTTGTTGAAGCCCGCAGCAACCAAGCACTCGTAGCCGACCTCCACAAAGCACTGATGATAAAAAAGCCTCCAGGTTCTTTACACTACGACCGAACCTCCATGGACATCTTCTGGCCTGGAATCATTGACCTTTGCTGGCCGGCATGGCGGCAACACCACAATCCCCCCATGCTGCTTCAAGTGTCAGGCCGGGCTTCCGTGTCATCGATGCCGAAGAAGACTGGCCCGGGGCAAGATGCGATTCATTACTGTTACTATACGACTCCTCTCATTACTTCTGCTATGACTATTTCTATCACTGTCAATATCACCATCACTATCACAGGTACTGGTACTAGTACCAGTACTCAGTACTTGTGAACTTACTGTTACTGTTACAGTCACTGTCACTTTTACGGCTACTGTTACTACAACTACTACCTCTACTACTACTACTACTACTACTACTACTACTACAACTACTACTACTACTACTACTACTACTACTACTACTACGACTACTGCTACTGCTACTACTCCTTCCTGTTCCTCTTCCTCGTCCTCGTCCTCGTCCTCATCCTCGTCCTCTTCTTCCTCTTCCTCTTCCTCTTCCTGCTCCTCTTCGTCTTCCTCTTCTTCCTCTTCTTCTTATTCTTACTTGGTACTATGTCACTATGTTATATCGTATTTTAGTAGGTCATGTCATGTTATATTGTACTATGCTATGTTGTTTTGTATTGTATTGTAATTTAGTATAGCATGGTATATTATGTTACGGTTATTATCTATTCTTTCAAGTACTACATCCGGGCATCAAACCCTCACAGGCTGGGCAGGCCGTTGTCAAACTGAGCGATCTGATCTTGGCTAACAAATCCACCATGGCCTCAGCGCTGGTGCATGTTTACACGGTTGGACTTAAGGAGATGCCCTGTGAGAACAGAGCAGGTGTACGACTTGCCAGTGGCGATGGAATCGGCGCCCTCCTCGTAGTAGGGCTCTGTCCTGGAATTACAGCAGATTGGTGGCCTGAGCCCATCACAGGGTGGCCGAGTCACTCCCAGCGAGAGTACGGCCACTGTGAGCAGGTGTCCGTGCCTTGCAAGGAATGCAGGAGAATGAAGACCTAATCGCACACCGTCGCTCCTGAGGAGAACATGGACCAGTATTGGGCCGGAGACCATGCCTGCGCACTGTGGGGTGTGGTCCTGTGCTTTCAATGAAGCCCTTCGCTCTCGGCCTCTCCCGGAAGCCGAGTGGTCAAAGCCATGATGCTCGCCTCACTCGACAACTGAGAAACTCGCAGACTCTCGGCCTTTGCCTTTGCCTTGGGTCCATCAGGGACTTCAGGCCCCGGGTTGCACACCACCTGCCACAAAGACGCGTCTTCGGCCCTTCCCTTTCGCCCTCCGTTCTCAGCCTCGCCCGAGTCTCCCCTCTGACCCAGGTTCAAGTACATCTCTCGAATTGCTTGGGACCTGGCCCACCAGCTTTTCGATAGCTTTGCGAATTGAACAAGCGGATTGCAGCATGCTACAGACACGCACGACGGCTTCAGGCTGCATAATTTTGCTGGTATGTCTCAAGTATCTTCGTGCTCAGAGAACCTGGGTGTCTTCACAATGAGAGTAGCCATGTGATAGCTTTTCACGACGCATATACTGTATCAATACATCCCGCAGTGGCGTCACAACCCAAAGTAGATCAGATTTCAATGTGATTCGAGGGAGGTACGCCCAGCGTAGTTTATCCGACAATGGGGTTGCGTACTCCTGGAACTTCGAGTTTATGATCAACGAGACACACACGGTTGGAACATCGTTTCAAACATCTGGAAAGTGCTGGCACCTGTCTTTCGACAAAATCCACAAAGCACAATACTGTAGCCAGTGCTTATCTACACGCAAAAAAATAAAGGTACTTGCGACACGATGCTTTATTCCCATGTACTTGCACGCATATGCCGGTACGAACACCATGCCGTACTTCGCTACTTTTTGAACAAGCTGTGCATCTGCTAGCCCTTCAAAACAGCTTTGTCTTGTTGCTGCTCGTTTAAATAAATTTAGATACAGCTAACACTAGGTGCCATACTTCACGAAACGAACCTCTCGAGTACTTGACAGCTGCAAACGTATACATGGCTAGCATGTCTGTCCATCCCATACTATAGGCATTTGTCCGAAGCAGAGCCTTGTGTATCTCTGATCATGGTGCCGAGTATTGCTGTTCTCATCGTATCACTGATGATCAATGGTCGGTCGTCGTGGTCGTCGTCGGGGCAGCGCGGTTGCACTAGCAGTACTTGGCATTAGCATTTTCATGAGGCGACCGCCGATTTCCTGAATTCTACAGCTCAAACGCCTGGTGGCCGAGTCTTCAGGCATTGCGACACACGCCACACCCACAAACGCAGCTGCCAAGCGCATCTGATTTCCACGTCTCAGCACGCGGCTTGCCGATGTCCTGCATGAGCCAAGCCTCTCGCGTCAAATCACACATTGCAGCGCTGCTCTCTGGCTGCGTCGGTCTTCACTGATAGCGTGGCGCCCAGGCGTCAGGAGCAGGCTTCGGAAAAGACTCGTGTTAGCGCTGCTTTCTTCACTTTGCCCACCACACAATAGTAACATGCGACGTCGTGGCTCGCACCTGTAGTGCCAAGCTCCGGCCAACGGCCTGTCACTCTCCGACTCATGTGACTTTCTAAGTCTGAAAGCATGTTCGTTGGCGGAGCCTGGAAGGAATAATCCATTATGTCGTGGCGGAAAATCAGGAGCTTGTTGGGAGCAGCCGGCACTCGCCTGGGTAAGTCGCCCCCTGAAGCTCCCGCTCTCTGCAGGTCTTGGGCAACTGCATGCTCCGCTTGCCACCGGATAGGAAGGAACCATCCTGAGAGCTCGCTGCGACACAAGGACACAAGGCCACGACAAACCGACAGGCTGTCGGCCTTCGGGTAAAACCACACCTCACCTCCCTCGGCCTCAATGAGATGCATCACGCACAGCCTGACGTCGGAGTCGTCTCACGAGTCTCGCTTCATTGATTCATGCACCCGTGGGGTCACCTTCTTCGTCGAGAGAAGAAAAGGTACTCCTGCAAACAGAACACAACTTTCTGCGGTGTAGCTGCCATAGCTGTTAACATGCGTGAGCTCGAGTCCTGAACTGGAACCGTCCAACCCGAATCCGGATCTTGCATCATGTCCCGGACAGACTCGGGCCTTCGTAACGGTAGGTAGGGCTTGCTCTTGAAACCAGTTAAAAAACTCAGCTTCCGGCAGATAATCCTCCTCCTCGTTCTTGGTCATTGACCTGGCAGGTGCTCTTCAAAATCACATGCTGAGAGTGAAGAGAAACTGGGCACCACACACTCTCAGGAGAGGGTTCATGATGTAGCTAAAGCTGACACCCAGCCTGGAATGGCTGCTACAACCGGAGGTGTGCGAGGTAGAGCACGGTTGAAATTGTCACCTACCCTGCAGCACGCAACAGCAGGCATTGCCATCACTAGGTATGCCTGGCTCCTCGATCACGATAACACACGAGGCCAAAATCGCAGCACGGGACGATAGGCACAATATGGAACAACGGCACAAGCGACCGCCATACGTCATAAGTCAGCCACGTGGGTGTCAAAGGCGCAATTGCTGTCGCCAGGTCCGTGAAGAGTTTTTCACCTAGAAACGAGCCGAAAGCCGATGAAGACAAACAAAACCCACCCTTTTCATTTCACCCGTCTCTCCGAGCTCGAAGCTGCCATCGAAGGCTTTGTTGTCGAGTTCTTCATCCTGGTACTGGGCAAACCCTAGGGCTGGCACGGGCGAACCAGAGACGAGAGCTCCTAGATTGCCGGTGGGGGGTGGGGGAAGGTGGCACGCCTCCGGATAGTTCAGACCATCCGGGTTTGATTGCTCCTCTCGCCGCTCCTTAAGCCAGGCGACCTGGAGATTTCGTGGCTGACCGGAGCGCCACAATCACGTCAACTGGGGCCTTGTTGTTGGAATCAAAGCCCATGTAGCCAGTCTGACAACAAAGCATGTTCAGAACTGTCACAGGCCGTCTTGCACAGCTGTCCACCTCCACCTCTTGCTTCATGCGGAAGAAATATCTGTCTTGTTCCTCCGCCCACAGAACGTTGAACTGAGGGTGCCTTCTCGCATCGCATGACCGTGCCTGCGCACTCCTCCAAGCGGCTTCACGCTCCTGGCATGCTTTGCGTGTCCGGCAGAAGAGCGTGGGAGCAATGGCAAGCTGGCCTCTTCGCTCAAGCTAGTTTGGATGACACAGTAGCCTTTGCTCGCCAGAGCAGCCACAACGACCTCAGCCAAAGTCCGCTTAGAACGGAATGCACTGCTGTCAGCAATCAGCCTGCCTCTCCGAAGCGTGACGCGGCATCCTGCAATTTGGTTCTGGAGCCCACTATTGCGTCAGCAGAGGTTCAAAGCAGAAGTGAGAGGAAGCTTTGCGGGCGAGGGTCAGCATCCGGCCAGACGACATCGTAGACGTCGTCGACGCGAGGCTGCAGCGACCTGGCAAAGGTCTTTCTTCTGTTTCACACAGAGATGTGCATGACATCTGACCCAAAAGCAACAGTAAAATGGTGAGACTGCAAGACCACAAAACTTGCGCGGCAACACTCCTGCTCTTCGTCCCCGGGCAGGGCCACCATAAGATCACAATGTGCAAGTAAGCCGACAGCAAAACATAATCCAGAGTATCCAAACTGCGCTTTGGAGGCACAAGCATGACTGCAACAGTTCGGACATGTTTGACCGATAAGTTCAGGCACAGCCTTCTCGAGCCAAATGACAATGATTGAATATCTGATGCTAAAGATGCTCCCGTCGCTGGTAGCCGTGAAAAACTGCAAGCAGCCAGCACACTCCATGTTTCGAGTTGCTGATCAATCTTCACATCCTGCAGGCATCCTGGGCCTAACATGTCCTTCAAGCAAGCAATACCGTGCGCCGACCGACATACAAACGAAGACCCACCGCCAACCAAGCGCAAGATCCACACGAAGACGGCAGCATGCACTTTCCTGGTACCGACCATGTTTGTGTGCTGTGTAACGGCCGAAAAGATTGCAAAGGACTCTTCTCATCCAGTAGAACGACATTGCTTCTTGTTTGGCAAAAATCGCATCAAGCGGTTGGCAGCTCTGCAACTGCAAAACATATCCAACAGCAGAATTCAACAACAGATAATTCGATTAACACGGTGTGCAATGTAAGTGGCCGCATTAAAATCATAACACCATGCATAATACTCCAGGGTCGAAGCGTGCGACCAAACCAACCTCCAAAAAAACCTCCATTGTCAGAATGTTAAAAGAACGGGGTTCACTACGGGGTCCTAACCCAAAGCACTGCGGCACACTTTTCCTGTACCGTACTGGTGTGTCTGGGTCCCTGAGCCTCGGTGCGAAAGCACGCTCAAGTCTTTCCTTTACATATACACAACGTGCAAACTGTGTGTTCCTATCAGGCAGTAATGTTTAACACCCCGCCTTCGAAGTTGGGTAAAGTCTGTTCCAGGCGTAACTGGCTTCGAACTCTGCTTCACTGGCTTCGAACTCTACTTCCTATCCAAAAGAAAACACACTGTTCCGAAAACGTTCCTTTACTTTACTGTCGCAGACCATGCAAGTCCACTGGCGTTCTTTTCCAAGGGCGCTAAAGCTGTACAAAACTTTCCTGTACTGTTGCAGACGAAACTGGCAAGTTACCTGGATCATCTCTGCCACGCAAAAACGCGTTCTTAGTGCTCACGGAAGTGTCCTTGAAAAAGGACCGTGCAAAGCTGCTCACTCTTTGGTCCTGACCGCTTTGTCTTTGATCCTTGGCTTCTTTCTCTTCTTCACTGGAAGTTTGGGTCGTCACTTCCTGCTGTACGTTCTTCTTCTTCTCCTTTTCCTTTGGGCTTCTTGTCCTTGGGCGTTGATCTTCTCATCCTGTGCTTCAACTGTTTTTCCTTCTTTGCTGTCCCTTGCTGCTTCAGCCACTTTTCTTCCCTTGTCGAAATAGTACCAAAAGCAACTTTCTTTGTTCCACTTCCAGCGGTACTGTGTTCCTTCGAAACTGTAGATCGCATGGAGATGTGGGAGTCATCCTTCATGTCTCCTATGATTTAGGATTCCTTTTGGTACGGTCCTTTCCTGTTCACCTGGTTTGTTTCTTCCTTCCTTTGCGCTTCCTGCTTCACTTTGGATTTCCTGCTTGAGCTTGGCGATTGTCTCTCTGTCCCTTTGCTTTTCCTGCACCCGGTTCTCCACCATGCTCTCGAGCTTCTTCGATCTATCTTCCTTTTCCTTTCCTGGACTTGTTCCTGCTGCTTCCTTGCTTCTCTTTTCCTCTGCTGCTGCGGCTTCTTCCTTTCTCCTCTTCTCTTCTGCTGCTGCTGCTTCCTTCTTGAGCCTCTTTCTCAAATACTGTCTTGTTTTCCTCTTCTGCTGCTGCTTCCTTCTTCCTCCCTCTCTTGTGCTTCTGCTTCCTCCTGCTTCCGGCTGTTTGCTTCTCTACTTCCTTCTCGTTCTGCTAACATTAGTCGTGCTTGCTACGGCGTTATCCCGGAGGGATTAAAGCAGCGGTTATCCCGAAGGGAATAACACTCGAAACAAAGCTTTTCCGAGGAGTGCCGATCGCCCACGTAGTCTTGGGCTGAAACCCAGCAAAAGCCATCGAGGTGGATGGGTGGACCTATTACGCCACCCATCACCACGAAACAAGCGTGGAATGTGCAAGCTGTTTGGAAGCAAAGCAAAACGAAAAGCTGAGCAGTTTTGACACAGCAAAGCAATTTGGAGCGTGCACCGCGCGCTTTGAGCTCCTTCACTTCAGAAAAAGCCACCAAAGGCCCGGCAGTACGATTCCAGAGGTTGTTAACACAAAAGCGATGGTGGAAGAAATCACATAAAAGCACTTAAAGACCAAACTGACTTCGTTTTACACCATCAATGAAAATCATTCAACCGAATTTAAGACAAAAAATGGAGCCTCTCTTTCGCGTTAAGGCTGTTCAGATGGCTATGTCCCCAATGCGCTCCTTCATGCGATATGTAAAACTCTCGTTCGAAAACATGACACATGCCCAATCGGTGCTCTGTCGGGTGTGTTGCCAAAACCGACCATAAAACCGTGAACGATCCGGGACATGTTTGCGAAACATGCCAAGAAACCGCAATCAGGGGGTCCTCGATGCTTGCACAAAACTCGCTTCTGTTTGGACAAAAAGAAGACTTCTAAAATCAGAATCAATTGTCTTGGTTGTGTCAGCCAAGCGTCAAGTGCATGCATCATGTCACAAGTGTGATCCGTGACTGCCATTGCTGCGAACATGAAAACTTTTCCTGTGACTTTGACGCCTCCACGAACCGTCTAGACACAAACTGTCTCACATCACGAAACTCAGTGTAATCGCACATGTCATTCTAACGACAAAATGCCGAATTACTCATTCGTCCTCTCATACGTTGACTCATACGCTGCATCATGCAGCATGGTGCTTCACTCATCCCGGTCGGCAAAACGTGCATGCCCTCAACTTCTTCTCAATTGCCCTCGATCTCCGTATGAGTGCACTGCTGCTGCACTGTCAAGTTTCCCACAAGCTTTCTTGTGATAGCACTTCCCGTGAAACTGCGCAACCCACACCAAAGGATCAGGATTCACTGGCCAACAACTGATTCCATGCATCCATCTCGGCTTTGTACTGCTTCACGTTTACATTCTCGGACTCATCATGAATATCATCTTTGTCATCACGCTTCGGGGGCTTTGGCTTGAGTTTTGACTTTGCTCCACGATGCTGGGGACTTGAAACATCCGCCTCACCATCTACGCTCTTCCTCTCCCACCAAACAATCAAGTTCACAATCGAAGATGCCGCAAAGGTTGAGCAAGAGATTGATGCGGGCCCTCGACAAGCCCTGTTAATTTTTGTGTCCACTTTGTTCAATGAAATCCTGCAGCTGACGGCTTCCTGTATCCATAAAATTCGGCATGACTTTCCAAGCCCTGAACGTTTATCCATCAATCATCGTACTTGTCCCTGCATGTACCTTGGCTTCGGCTGAGGATACTGGGGAGGCCCGTTGTGGTGCACACGTTTTCGAGGGGTTTTGCGGCCTTGAACATGAGCCCGTCAAATCTGTCAAAATGAAGGTTGAAACAAGGTCGGGTTACTCTGGAGGC